TTGATTTGACAAATATTTGATTCAATTTGATTCAATTTGATCAAATTCAAATTGATTCAAATTGATTCGATCAAATAGTTGAGTTCGATTCAATTCGATTTGAAAAAATCAAATCAAATTCAAATTGCTTAAATATTTGATTTAATTTGATTTTGAGGAACCTTAACTCCAGACTATTGATCTAACCAACCTTGGATCAGAATACTGTATACTTAATTTTATAAGGCTCTGAAGGCTCTGAGCTAAAGTCTGTCTACTAGTAACATTGTTCTGTATAAGATTATTTATAACCACTTTAATGAGATCAGGAGGTGATAAAGTGTCTATGAAATTCTTAATATAAATATTTGGATTAAGTAAAACGAGTTAATTCACAGCCTCTTTGCTAATTTCATAATACCTTCTCAGATTAAGATATTTTAAATTAAGACATGATCTAGCAATTTCTTCAATAGTTATATCAGTAATTTTATATTAGCTAAGATCAAGTTATTGGAATCTTAATTAAGCAAGAATGAATAACATTACAAATTAATTGTTCACAAATATTTATGTGATAAGAAATATTTAGATATTTTAATTTATGGCATGATCAGACAATTATATATAGACCTTCATCAGTCAGATAGGCTAAAATGTTTTACAAACTTCTTATTGTAAAGATTTTCCTAAATCTCATTGTCCATATCTTTAGCACCATAAATATTTCGCATATAAAAACATTTAAGTGTCATAGTATCTGAGATAGAGCGCTCTTGGTCAAACTTAAAATTTTCAGCTTCTTTAGGATCAAGATTCTGGGAAGTAGTAACTGCATCAAAATCTGTTTCCTTGATAACTAACGCTTCAACTCTAACCTCATTGCGGATCCTTTTACAATTCTCTATAACTTCTCAACTTTCATTTATTTTTATAAGTTGGAGAGAAGCACCTGTATTCAGTGTTGTCATAGGACATAGTTAGGATACTGATAGAATACTGATAGAATATTTATAGGACAGAAAGGACATTTGAGACATATATGGAACATAGTTAGGACATATAGTTGGAATATATAGCTGGGACAGCAAATACTTGGGACATAAGAAATGTACATCACTGCCTGTATTAGCTATAAGATTGCATGATATCTCAATGAAATTTCTTACAGAAAGATGTTTCTGATGCTTAACTTCGAGGTATAATATTATGATAGGTGATTGATCAAGTTTATATGATACAATATTTTTATCTCATTCATGATGCCTCTTATTGCTATAGGCAAATTATTAGGTCTAACACTTTCGAGTTCAGCATGAATATTTTTATAACCTGATAGGTGAAAAAGTTCATTAGAATTTTTTTGATAATAAAGAGATAGTATGTGCTTTTTACAATCACGAATCTGAAACACATCATTTGAATAAAGGCTTCAATATTAACTGGAGTTACAATATTTGTAATGCTTATAATTACATCAAAATGACCAGTCTTTTCAAAAAATATGCCTGCTTCTACTGTACTTGTATAAGCTACACAACCCTAAGCAGTAATTATATCTGAAAATCCTTTTTTCATTATTTTCCATTTATATTTCCATAATAAACATAGGCTCTAACAGAAGAATTATCAGATCTTTGCAATTTAGAGACTTTTTCTGCTAATGCTCGAGTTATACTGCAATTTATTAGAATGAATGCCACATGTTTACCCTACTGTAATAACTCATATCCTATTCGCATAGCTTCAGCCCACTATTTAGATCATAAAGGTACTTAACAGTTTTATCTATAAGGGTTGAAATTTATTATCAATAACTTGAATATTTTCATTGTGATAAGCTTTAAGAAAGGTTAGAGTTGATTCATTTCTAAAGGCATCCATTGCAAGTACATGCTAAGCTATTTTTAATATATCACATACTGCATTCTCAGATTTTCATGCATTTGTATCACTACTCATTTAGCGATTAATTGCAATGAATTCATCTAAAATAGCTACAATCGGATATGCTGAGAACTCTATATGAGAAAAACTCCTGACTTGAACTATAATAATATCCCACTTATCTACAGATAAGTTTTGTTCATCTTGATAATTACAGATTTTAAGCCCGGATAATTTAAGATCATTAATTTTACTTATTAAGAGTTTTTCAGTAAGAAATCCAAATAATGCAAGGCAAACTAGCTAATTACTGGCTAAGTAATTGAGATATCTTCTTGACCCTTTTGTTTTTTCTGTCATTATAGGGGAGCAAATTAGAGTTATACTGGTCTTTTCACTCAAGAAGTCAGGATAAGTTACTGGGAAATTTTCTATCTCCTTTATGTTAATAGCTTCTTCAGATAGTTCAGGAAGTGGATATGGATTTGATATGGCATTAGCTATTCTTTCAGCTATTTTTCACTTAGGTATTGTGAGAATTTTAGTTGTTTCTTTAAATACCAAACCTTTATGGTCTGGCTTATATTGTTTTTGCCAATAACATTTGAGTATAAAGCATCCATTTTTTTGAAGAAAGCCATATAACTGATTCCTTTCATGTTTGATATTGCAAATAGGACATTCTATAAATGATTTGGCATAAAAAATAATAAATCCTTTTTCAGCTTTTCTAATTTCAAGCCATTTATATTTTGCCATTATTAAATCAGCTCCATTACTTAAAGCAGTTTTATCTTTGATAGGTCAGAACTCTTCTTTTTTTAGCTTTTCAGGAGAAAAAAGTTCAAGGCCAGATTTCAAAAGCATCCTTAAGTTGAACTAAATAATCCTTTAGTTTACAATACACTTTTTTAATAGAAGAAACTGCAGGTCTTTTAACTCTATCATTCTTTGCTGATCCAAGAAGACGAAGGCTAAAATGGAATTTATAAAGTTTTATAATAATAAATTTAGAGTATAATTTTTCAACTCTATTAACGACTTTTTCTACAAACCCCTGAGATCTCTATAGTTAATAAAGCAGGCATCAGAGCATACAATATGCTAACTGCATTTATCAGAATTAGACGAACTGGCCAAAGTAAATGCATCTAATATTATAAAATGTTTTAAATCAGAATATAAAATATCAATGCAGGTAATTAAAATTCTGGATAATAAATCATTATGAGAAATTTTATATCCATCTAAGAAAGGGAGTTCAGGATTATGGGATCTTGCATTGATATCAAAAATTAGATGCTAAAGCAGATTCCCATCAATATACTCATGAGCTTCAAGAATTCCATAAACTTCAGATAGGTGATCAATTAGTGTAAAACCTGATTATGCCACCTGAATGATATATTTGGAAACAATTTCTTCAGCATAATAGGCTTCTAAAGGACCACATCCTCTTTAGTATTAGATGCCAATAAATGTTGAAAATATGTATGATCATTATAACCAGGCTTATAATCAAGTTCCGTTATACCTGAGAAGAACCTTATTGCTTCATTTATTTCTTTAAGATTGGTTTGAATTTTTTTTGTGCAAGTAACATGAAAGTATATATAAGAAAACAGTATAAAATTATATAAAAATTTGTAATCTTCAAAATAAAAAATATATGTGATCACCTTTTCTCATGAATTTGAAAAATCAAAAATATAGCATATTTTTGGTAGGATGCAAAGGTAGAATAATATATAGAAAAGAAAATAAGAAATTATGCTTTGTGTCCTACTAATGATAGGTAAAAAGAGATCAAAAAAGTGAAAGGCTCGGGAGAATACACAAAAAAAAGGTATAAAAGCTGTAAATTTTGAACCAATTCAACATTTTGTACCTTATCCTCAGCAATCAAACAGGCTATAAAAGACTTGATTGCAAAAATAGCATAATACTAACACTTCGCATGTGCCTCACCGGCAATTAAAAAGTGAATAAATAGATTGCAATACATCTTTAGCAAATAGATTAATTGCAAATTCGACATTTCATGACTCATCTAGCAATCAAGAAATAGTAATTGAGAGGGAAGTAACTATGTAAAGATGTTTCAGCACCAAAATAGTATTACATGACTATAACGCAGTAAGACGCCATATTAATTCACTTATTTTAGTTAACGCCATTCCATAAATTTGGCCAGAAGTTTGGATATAATAATTCAGCACCTAAGCTAGCATAAAACTGGCGAACTAATAGAACTTCTCTGGCATCCTACCAGTTCCATGACAATTCCCTACTAGTTTTATGATAGTTTCATGACACTATCACAGTACTATTATAATGCTAAGCTGGATCTCCAAATCACATGCCCAAAGATTATCTGGAATTATGGCATAGTGTCAGCTAAAATTAAACATGAATTTACTAAACCACCTGATGCATTTTTTATCGCAATTTAAAATTTTAACAGGCAATCAAGTAGGCGCAAAAAAGAAGCATTCTCAATATCTTAATAGGTCACTAAACAGGCCCAGAAGTAGAAAAATAAGCGAATAGCTTTTTAGAAACAAAAAGAGCGCAAATCATTGTAAACACATGAATAGTTCCTTAATAATAATAAAAATGACATAGCAATAAAATTAAGCAGATAGCTACAAGGTAACAAAATGACTACAGAATAATGAAAATAAGTGGATAGCTATAATCAGTGATATATATTTCCTATGTCCCAAGTATTTGCTGTCCTAGCTATATATCCTAACTATATGTTCTAACTATGTTCTATATATGTCCCAAATGTCTCATCTGTTTTATTAATGTCCTATCAGTGTCCTAACTATATCCTATGACAACATTGGCTACAATGTAATAAAAAGATCACAGAGCATTGAAAACACTAACTAGGTAGCATTATACTCATAACTAGGTAGTATTATATTCATAACTAGATAGCATTATACTTATAATTAGATAGCATTATAGTGAACTAGAGAGCACTCTTATAAGAGTGCTCTCTAATTAATATTGATTTTGAGAGTCCATAAATAGCTATTTTTTCTTACATATAATTGTACTAATTTCTCATTTCCTTTAGGTTCACAAAACTTGAAATTAGTATTCTGTTTCATTAGTTTTCATTCAATCTTCTTTCTTCATTTTTAGTATTGAATCCTACTTAAAATCTTCTAATGATTCTTGTTAAAAATAATCGCCTTTACAATTTCTTGAATAACCCCACTTTTACTGATCCAATATTCTTAAATTTTGATTTTCTGAAATCTAAAATATATAAATCTAACCATTCAAATTTTAGAATGATTGGGCTGGTGGATCTCAAGTTATTCGCATTCAAAGTTTTATCATAACAAGTCAGATTTTCTTTGTTAGATATTGTAATAATTTCACTTTTGCTATTTAATAAAACCAATTTCAAAAACTCTATTGCAGATTATAAAATTCATCTACAGTGGCTTCTAAAAGAAACGCAAGTAGCATTGCTTGCCTTTAATTGCCTGTAACTCACTGTGCACGAATGCTAGAAACATGATTTTGTATTTAATTTGAACCT